AGTTTTTCAACTGCCAGTTTGTGAAAAGTGCATAACCTTGCATTGTATGTAAGTATATTTTTTGTTTCGTTACAGTTTTCAAATTTTTACAATCTTTCCTTATGTTTTGTTTCTTAAAAATCTTTAAAAAAAAAATGTATATATATGTATATCTATATGGGGGCACCTGGGTGGCTCAGTTGGTTGGGCATCCTCCTCTTGGTTGCAGCTCAGGTCATGTTCTCACGGTACATGGGTTTGAGTCCCACATCAGGCTCTGAGCTGACAGTGCAGAGCCTGCTTGGGATTCTCTCTTAGACCCTACCCTGCTACTTACTCTCTCTCTCAAAATAAATAAACTACGTTTTTTTTTAATTTTTTTAAAATGTTTTTGTTTCTGAGAGAGAGAGAGACAGTGTGAGCAGGGGAGGGTCAGAGAGAGAGGGAGACACAGAATGTGAAGCAGGCTCCAGGCTCTGAGCACAGAGCCCGACGCGGGGCTCGAACCCACGAATCGTGAGATCATGACCTGAGCCGAAGTCGGGCGCTCAACTGACTGAGCCACCCAGGCACCCCATAAACAAACTTTAAAAGAAAAAGTCTTTTAAAAAATTTGACCAATCTTTCAAGGTGAATTTTTTTTTTTTTGAGAGAGAGTGCAAGTGAGCAAGGGCAGAGAGAGAAGTGGGGCTCACCTGGGGCTTGTGTTCACCCAGAGAGGGGGCTGGAGCTCACCTGATGTGGGACTCAAACTCACGAACTGTGAGATCATGACCTGACCTGAAGTCAGATGCTTAACAACTGAGCCACCCCGACACCCCAAGGCGAAACACTTAAAAACAACATACATAGTTTGAACAGTTATCATTGAAATAGCTCCTTTAAAAGCACTGGATAAAGTTCAAGCATATGACTCCTAATCTTAATCTTGATATTGGATTTAACATACTATGGTCATCTTAACACAAATATTGAATGATATCATCTCTTGATGGTGAAGATACTAAAATTTATCGTAGGTATTAGAAAAATAAGAAAAGTCTAGAAATGTTTTAACATTTTTCTAATTATCATCCATTTTCTTCATCTTTATGTTATCCTGTATTTTCCAAATTACCTATAGGAAAGAATATGTATTTTTTAATCAGAAACACGTGAATGTGGTCCTTATGGTTGTTTAACTATAGGACTAATAATGTATTTCTGATCATCTCTGGTCCTATATAGCTCCGCAGTGTGGAATACAGAAAAAAAAAGACAATACCCAATAGCATTGGTTTATAATTAAGATTTTAAAATGAGGGCTGCCTGGGTGGCTCAGTCAGTTAAGCATCTGACTTCAGCTCAGGTCATGATCTCCTGGTCCATGGGTTCAACCCCTATGTGGGGCTCTATGCTGACAGCTCAGACCCTGGAGCCTGCTTCAGATTCTGTGTCTCCCTCTCTCTCTTTCCCTCCCCCACTCATATTGTGTTTCTCTCTGTCTCAATAATAATAAACATTAAAAATTTTTTCAAAAAAATAAACATTAAAAGAAAATTTTTAAAAAAGCATTTTAAATTGAAATGGCAATCCTACTGGAATAAGAATGCTAGAATATTGAAATGATTACAATTGTTAGTTGTACTTTTGGTTATTTAATATTAGAAATTTATAACTTATTTTAAAGTTGATCTCAGGGTGATTACCCTTTTAATGTTCAGAAATTTGAATGTAAGTCATATTTTGTCTCTTAACCATGTAAAATGACTACTTTTTAATTGAATAGATAGAGTTTACTAATTTTAGAGACCCTTGCTATCCCTGTTCCTTGCAGAGAAAGGAACACAAAGGGGAGAAAATGCCTTAGTGTCAAACGGGCAGCACATCTGTACCTTCATTTCTATCCCATCATTTATATGATAGAACTGTATAGTTAATTTTTTGGTACTTGAGTTTTCTTTATCGAGCATGTATTTTAAATAAAATTTTAATACTATTTTTTTAAAGATTTTAAATGTGGGACTGCTCAGACTCACTACCCTGAGATCAAGAGTCACATGCCCTTCCAACTGAGCCAGCCAGGCGCCCCAATTTTAATGCAGTTTTAAAAAACTGAGGGGAAACTTTATTAGGGTCCAAAAAATCCTGTCTTTATTTCCTTTTTATGGTTGTTCTTTGTGAACTTCATAGGTGTAGAAAACATGTAATTAAGTTTAATTAATTTCTAGAATGTGTCCATATATGGTGGGGTTGGAATAAGGATGATAGATAGTTCATATTTTCAGTTATAAATGTGACCACAGTTGAAAATGAGAATACAGGTGCCTACAGCATTTCACGTTTTTCAATGAAATTCCTACTTAGGATGATCAAAAAGCAGAAAATGATATGGCAATGAAACGGGCAGCTTTGTTGGAGAAGCGACTACGGAGGGAGAAGGAGACTCAGCTTCGGAAGCAACAGCTGGAAGCGGAAATGGAGCATAAGAAAGAAGAGACGAGGTAACAGACAACTGATGCTTATTTCTGGTGCTTTTTAGAAGCTACTTTATGTTCATAAAGTATTGGTTGCTTATATAATTTTATCTTAAGTTTAAGGCAGTAAAGTTCTCCAGAAACCTTAATTTAAAATAACTTCATGGGTTTTTACATATCAACATATTTTTTAAAGCACTTACTAATGGTATGTTTATGCATATTTTAATGATCTAAATTATCTCAAGTATATTTTAACCAAACCATTTTTTCCATAGGTGCTGAAATATAACAATTCTCCTTTCTCACACCACATACTCTCCAATGTCTGGTTTCTTTAGTATGCAGAGTAAGAAATTTAACCATTTGGTTTCTTAGGCGTAAAACTGAGGAAGAGCGCCAGAAGAAGGAAGACGAGAGAGCGCGCAGGGAATTTATCAGACAAGAATACATGAGGCGAAAACAACTGAAGCTAATGGAAGACATGGATACAGTAATTAAACCCCGTCCTCAAATAGCAAAACAAAAAAAACAGCGTCCCAAATCTATCCACAGAGACCATATTGAATCTCCTAAAACACCAATAAAAGGTCCTCCAGGTAACACAGCTTACCATGAAGAGTCTGTTCATAAAAAAAAAACACCAGCCTGCTCTGTCGTACTAACTCAACTGTGCTTTGGTATGCTTAATTGGATGCACCATTTGAGATGATGCATGCTCTTCTTTGGAAAACCAAAATGAGCAAATGTAGTTTTTAATGACTTGATGTGTTATGTGTGCATGCATATATTCAATAGAACAAATGTGAATGCCGAAATATGCAATTAAGTACTAACCTAGTAGGGGACTCTGCCCTCAGATGTAATCTCTCTGAATTATTAGCTAGCCTTTCCATACTTGTACATTTAAGGATAAACACTGTGTGCATGGAAATATGGAGAAACAACACATTGGTATAATAAGGAATATATAAACAAAGTTCAGGAGTCCCTCCGTTAAGACAGAAATGGTCAAATGTCCAAATCTATAATTTTTGGAACTTAGAGAATGTATCTTTTCTTAAAATTCCACGCACATAATCATTTATTTTACAAAAAAAAAATATTTTATTAAAACTAAACACTGTGGAGAATTTTAGAGCATCCCCATAGTTATTCTAAAATTGACGGAAAATAACAGAACATTGTCTGTTTAGAGACCTCTTTTGTTAACATTTTTCTTATGATTACAGTATCAGTGTCATATTTCCACCTTCCTTTTGGAATAAATCCTAACAACAATTAGTTTTACTGTTATTTCTTAAAAGTAGGTTTATTGCTAATTTTATTTTTTTAATGTTTATTTCTTTATTTTGAGAGAGTGCGTGTGCACATGAGCGGGTTGTGGGGGTAGAGAGAGAATCCCAAGCAGGTTCCACAGTGTTAGGTCAGACCCCATCACAGGGCTCAGTCGCAAAAACCATGATGAGATCACAACCTGAGGTGAAATCAAGAGTCAGATGCTTAACCGACTGAGCCACCCAGGTGCCCCCTTTCATTGCTAATTTTAAATAAATTGTACATATATGCATGCAAGCATATTATGTGCTTAGATTAAAAGAAAAAAAGAAACTACAGAAGCTCAGTTTTCATGTGCTGGTGTTCTCTAATGAACAGACTCTTTTCTAGCTGCTCCTTTTAAATTTCTAATTTTGTCTTTATTCAGGATCACGAATTTATCGTGTTTTTTCAGTCTCTAGCCTTTCTTTGGCATCACTGAACACAGGTGATAACGAGAGTGTGCATTCAGGCAAGAGGACTCCAAGGTAAATCCAAAATGTGAACATTTTTCATAGGAATGAGTATGTTTCCCACAGTTACGTTGTATTTTATAATGAATGAATCATTAGCACCAATTTTTTGGTTTTGCTGACTGGGACTCTGTGTTTTCATTAAAAGAAATTTACATATAAACAAGTATCATTTTGGCTATTTATCTTTTAGAATTTTAGTTACTGACATTGATAAGGTACTTTTTATAAATGATAAAACATTAACAGTAATTGCTGATATGATTGTGATAAAATCAGTGTGCAGAAATAGTACATCTCTTATGTAAGTGCCAGCCTCTCTAGCCTATTTCCCATGCAGTATAGTTTTTTCCCCTTAGAATATTTCTGAAGTAGGTTGCCTAACTTAGGAAAGATCTCTTTTGTACCACTGTCTCTGCGGATGTAGATTAGAAACTAAACATCCTATCTTATTACATTGTACTATAAAAACCACATAAAAAGACAACGTTTGTAGTGACAGGCTTCAGCGTTGAGTTTTAATCTTTGTATTACCATCCTAATCCAGTAACTGCCGATTTTCATATGGAAAAGAGTCATCCTTTCAGTCAACAAGGACTTAAGGAGTGAGTGCCTGCTGCGTCCAGACACCTGGATGTATAGCTAGGAGTAAGACAGTTATGCCATCTTTTGATTTTTAAGCCTCCAGGTTGATTTTGGTTGGTACTTTCACATATACCCTTCTGGCCCCCACATGTTCTTCTTTTGTTTGAGACATAAAAAATATTTTATTTACCACTTAGATCTGAGTCTGTAGAAGGCTTCTTGTCTCCAAGTCGTTGTGGCAGTCGAAATGGGGAAAAGGACTGGGAAAATGCATCAACAACTTCTTCAGTGGCTTCTGGAACAGAATACACAGGTTAGTGTCTGTTCATTTTTAGGGAGACATTTTAATTTAACACAGTCATGAGAATAAATACAGGCTATACTGAAGTTTCATGGGCTCATCTCTTGGTCTAGACATGGGAAAGTATGATCAAGAACACTGAATGCAGATAGTCCCTTTCAGGGAGGTCAGTTTCAATAATACAGTTAGGGAGATAGTGACTTGTCCCAGATGAACTGAGATCAGTTTGTAACAAAATTAGCAATAACATTTACACCTCATCCCTCTACTTTCTTTAAAATGATGGCCATTTTTGTGTTGTGGCTTGGGTCTGAAGAGAGGCTCTAGCGGTAATCCATAGGTCCTAAGTACTGAGAAAAGGCTAGAATCCACAAAGGCCTCTCTAACATTGAGATTTCAGGTATCTAGAGCTGTTCATCTTTAAAACATATTAAGGGGGACACTTGGCTGACTCAGTCGGTAGAGCATGTGACCCTCATCTAGGGGCTGTGAGTTTGAGCAACCCCAAGTTGGGTGTAGAGCCTACTAAAAAAAAAGTATTAAGGAGCTCTAAAAGATAAGAAGTGCATTGAACCCAGGAGAGCATCTAGCCTCACATATCTCTGTTAGGTCCTCTTCCAGCCTTTGTTTGGGCAAGCATTACTGAAACAAAAGCAAACTGAAGAACAGAAGGTAGGTAAGATGCTTTTAAAGAAATGCAGCAGGAGAGAAAATGAGAAGAAACTGAGATCTGAAGTGGAAAGGCAGAGGACATGCAGGGGGGAGGGCAGTGGAGAGTGCCTCCAGTCTGCTGGTGATCCACTGGAAATGGAAGCCCCACGAAGGTCTAAGGAGGCTAGAACTTGCTCACTTTCCATGTGTACTTCACTCTGCCGCTTTCCCCCCTCCCTATTCTGTGGCTTTTAATGGCTTCCTCCTGTGGCCAGTTTGACAGCCTTTAATACCTGGAATTGGAGAGTGTTTTCTTGGTTTTCCCTCTGCTTCTATGTTAGGTTCATTTAACAGTCATGTTTCCCAGGGCTGTTCCAAACCCAGAGCCGCAGAACTGCAGTGATGTGCAGGACGAGCTCCTGCCGTAGGCCTCTGAACCGCTCCACTGTCAGGAATTACACAAGCTGTAAAACCATTGGCAGGTTGATATGAGCCATGATCGGAGTAACTTATATCCCAGAAATAGGGAAATGCCCATTTTTCTCCCAAAAAAACTGGTTTCTTAGCTCACTGCTGAGTGTAAGGCACAGACCTTGCTTCCAGGATGGAGTTGAATTAGTATAAGTAGGAGACTTCAAAGTAGGAAGTTCCCTTCATAGTAGGAATGTTCCAGGAAAATGGCAAAAAGTGCTTCTGTGCTTTCCAGACCAAGGAGTATCATTGGTTAAAGAAAGCAAATGCTTAAAAAACTAATATATGTGGAAGAAGAAAAAGATGAAGCTTTTTCTTATCTTTTGAAAAGGTATAATTGCTCATGGATCCATTCTGCTTTAAGTTCACCAATAACCTTATCAGCCTTGTGGAAGGTGAAGCAGACAGTGTGACCACTGGAGCAATAGCTAATTTCCAGCACTAGTCTCCCAGAGCAGCATTGGGAATAGCCTCAAGATATATCCCTGTGTGGATAAAACTGTTCTGATTGGACTCAGAGGAGAGGCCTTCAAACACAGAATTTGATTTTTTTTGTTACGGTGTTTCCTCAGTACAGGAACAATTATATCATTTAAACATAGTAGTATGTCTCACATAGGAATGGTATTTTTATTTTGCTTCTAAATTTGTACTACAGGACCAAAGCTCTACAAAGAACCCAGTGCAAAATCCAATAAACACATAATACAAAATGCTTTAGCTCATTGCTGTTTGGCTGGAAAAGTAAATGAAGGTCAGAAGAAAAAAATACTGGAGGTAAGCATGTTTGCATAAGAATTAGATTTGGCAACACTGTAAAATTGTAAGAGTCTTTCCTATCAGTCCAAGAGAAAATGCTCTTCATCCCCTCCTAGAATTTCAACAGCATATAAAAGATCTGTACTACATGTTAATTTTAGATTGAATTAGTTCACTTTCAAATAGAGTTCTAGAAAACTGAAGACTTAATTATTAAGATTGGGATAGATTTAGATGATGATGTAAAATCATAAATTCTTTTTTTTGCCCAGAGTCACTCATTCATGTTTCATAAATGTAGATAACATAATTTTCCTTTTTTAAAATGTGGCTATATTGCAAAGGAGATCATCAGTGCCTGGTTTGTTAATGGTTGTTTGACTAAGATCAACATTTAGCAGATATTTCTACACCAGAGGTACCCGGCTGGCTGCCGGTTAAGTGTCTGACTCTTGATTTCACCTCAGGTCATGAGCTCATGGTTCATGAGTTCAAGCCCCGCATCAGGCTCCGCACAGACAGTGCAGTACCTGCTTGGAATTCTTGCTCTCTCTCTCCCTCAAAATAAACAAATAAACATTAAAAAAAAAAGTTTCCCACATGATAATATTCACACAGATCCAACCGAACCTCAGAAGTAATGTGGTCACATACATTTTAAATTAAAATGTAGTTTGCTTTTATAATATATGTTTATTTTGGCTATTCAGAATTATAATTACATAAATTTTATACAGCAAAATGTTTGAGTTTTTATTGTTTTGTTTTTGTTTTTTCTTCTAAAGGAAATGGAGAAGTCAGATGCCAACAACTTTTTAATCTTGTTCCGGGATTCAGGCTGCCAGTTCAGGTCTTTGTATACTTATTGCCCAGAAACTGAAGAAATTAATAAACTGACTGGGATAGGCCCTAAGTCTATCACTAAGAAAATGATTGAGGGACTTTACAAATATAATTCTGACAGGAAACAGTTTAGCCACATACCTGCTAAAACTTTATCTGCCAGTGTTGATGCAATTACCATTCACAGTCATTTATGGCAGAGCAAGAGACCAGTAACACCCAAAAAACTTCTACCCACTAAAGCATAGGAGTTGGGAAGTACTTGCTTCAGAACATTTATGGTAAATTTGCACTTCATCTTTGCTGCCTGTAGAAAATCTTTCTAATTGCCAACAAGACTTTTATTAATTGAAACTGAACATTAAGCTCTGTTGTCACGAACAACTGGAATGTAAACCACAGTATTCTGGAGCGCGGAAGATTCTGACCTAGGTGGTAAGTCCAAGTGATGAAGGAGATGTTCTGATTTACAAATGGAGATTTGTGTCATCGGGTTACCTGCTTGATATTAGACATACTGAAGCACTGAATTCTCATAGACCCTGGTTGGACTTATGGTTGAAATATGGCTAAGATTACAAATTATGTGTTTTATTTGTTCCTCTTTTTTTAAAACTTTTAATGTACATGCTTGTCTTCAGATAGTTTATTTTGCTCTTTTTCTCTCCTGGGGGTTTATTTTAAGCCACCTTTGTGTTTTGTTTCACGTGGAGACCATGAGCGTAGGAAACGCGCCTTCAGAGGTAACTCGCACCTTTCTTCTGATGCTAAGAGAAACACTAGTGTTTAGTTTCACGGTAACCTTCATGTTTTAATGGTGTTAGAGCATTTACAAGAATTATTCTAAGTATTTACAATTCCGTATTTATTATTCACTCAAGTATTAACATTTCTCTATTAAATAAGAGGAGGTATTGTAAAGAGCTGCTAGTAGGTTCGCTTTAAACCACATGAGCTTAACCAAGAATATGTATAAGAAATTGCTGATTAAATCAGTGCTGTTTTTACACCACTTCTGGCCAACTCAGAATAATTTAGATTGTTCTTTTAACAAAAAAGGCTTTCTATCTCTTTTAAAGTCAGTCACTTTATAAGCTGGCAGAAGTAACGACACTTTGAGAGTAGTCTTTCAATCTGAAGATGTAGGACTTCCTGCCACAGTTCTCAAGAGGTCTTTACATTATATTTATAACTGATATAAAAATTATATTTAGAATTTTTAAACATGTACAAAGGGCTACATTTTAATTTTAAAATAGCTTCACATTATTTTACTTATATTGAGTTTTTCTTTTTTTTATCCGTTTCAAGTGGAACAGCTTAGATTAAAGTACACACTTGAAATCTTCATGATCATTCGTTCCTTTAACAATGTATATGAGAGGGTTAGTTGGGGAAAAACTTCATTCTCAGGAAAAGACTTGAATGATTATGTGACCCTGTTATGTTTCAGTGTTGTGATAACTGTGTAAACGTAGAGGGGAGAGACAGTATTGTATCATAAATGAGATGCGGGGTTTGTTTTCTTTTGTGGGAAGTAGAGACTAAAATATATACGTTTCTCTAATCGAGTTGTTTAGAGAAATAACTAATATCTCATATGATGTATTTACTTATTTTAAAAGAGAATTGGAATGAGATGTCCCTGAACTGTACTTTTCTATTATTATAAGGCCTTTAGGCATCAGTGCATCTGGTTTATCAACATTTTCTCAAACGCTGTCAATATTTTACTGTAATTTATGTTCTTATATTTATGTATATTTGTTAAAACTGTAAAGAAAATTTCAATTTTTTTCCAATACCTGTGCAAGATCTATGTGTAGCTCAAAACTATTTGTGACCTACTGTTTGCATGTAAGAGACCAGGATATGTAACTCTTATATTTTAAGTGTATACATATTGTGTATATAATATATGAATATTAAGAATGGGGAATTGCACATTTTACCTTTCAGACAACAGTTTCTATCACAGAAGGAAATGACTGTCAGATACATGTTTAGATTAAGACTAGTTTAAAAAAAAAAAAGTAAACCTAATCAAAAATGCAGTAAATAATAGTCAAAAGGAGAATAAGCACTTTACATTACTAAATTTGCTCTTTTCAATCAAATTTCCCTTATCAAATCCATCTCCTTTGTGGGATTACCTGGCCATTAAATTTTTAAAAATTGGATGCAAGACAATGGAGGGACTGTTTAAAACTAAGTAGAACCACCCTTTTCTTCAATTTATGTGTGTCCAACAATGAATGTCCATAATGTCT